ATACATAGATACATAGATACATAGATACATAGATACATAGATACATAGATACATAGATACATAGATACATAGATATATAGATACATAGATACATAGATACATAGATACATCGATATATAGATACATAGATATATAGATACATAGATATATAGATACATAGATACATATATACATAGATACATAGATACATAGATACATCGATATATAGATACATAGATATATAGATACATAGATACATAGATACATAGATACATAGATACATAGATACATAGATACATAGATACATAGATACATCGATATATAGATACATAGATACATAGATACATCGATATATAGATACATAGATACATAGATAGTCATCCAGACACATAGATGCATAGATGCATAGATTCATAGATTTATGAGGTAGAATACTTGGGTTGTATCTATATGGCATATACTATAGAGCATACTATGAATGTTATGAAGTGAGGTAAGATTTGGGAGTAAAATATCAACAAATTGATCTATCATAATTCATGTCGTACATTAAGATTTGATTTTTCTTTACACCAGACTATTTCCAGATAGCTAATTTTCAAACTGTACCCAATTATTTTCCCATGTGCAGCTCAAGACATTCTCACAAAATGAGACAGAAACTGGGGCACTTAAGGAGCTCATTTGCATTAACAATTTGGCAGTTGGCCTGGTCATTAGCGTCGACAGCGATAGCAACAAGAGCAGCAACAAACAGTAGCACGTGCGTTAGGCTCGCAAATTTATAACCCACGCAGAAAACGTACAAAAATTTAGACGTATATAAAAATCGAAACCAAAGTCTTTGCCTATCTAAGAAATTAAGCAGCAAACGGCGCATACATTTAGCCGCTGGTCATATTTTGTAATCAGTTCCATTTGCCGCTCACCGAAAGACATACCACAGCAGCAACAGCAACTGCAACCACAACAGCAACAACAGCAACCACAGCAATGTCTCAGACAGCATGGAGCCGACGAGGCGATGGTGTCCAGTTTTTAGGCACCGCGCGAAACCACTTTGGCAATCCAAGTCAAGCGGCACATATTTTCCTGCCGTCTGCTGTTGTTGTTGTTGTTGTTGTTGCAGTTGCTGTGGTTGACATTTTTATGGACATTGGTATGCCCAGCGACTGGGCAGACCCCAAAATAGAGAACGAAAACAAAAACAAAAACAAAAATCAATAAAAACAAAATCAAATCGAAAATCGAAATGCGAAAATTGTCATTGCCTTGCCCACCTTTTGACTGTGCTTCATCTTAACTTTGAATTTTGCGTTTCGGCCAAAAAGCCTGATTAGTGCAACAATTTGAAATATTTGTGTTAAATGCCTCGAAATTAATTGCAGTTGTTTGAGCTCAGTCGAGCGGCTGCCTCAAAGTCAACCATAAAATGAAGTTATATCAATTTGGGGGAAAAAAGCAAATGATTTTCTGCTTTGGCGGCGCCTTATATAAAAAGTCTTTCAATGAGTCAAATAATTTGATTAGGTTAACCGATTTCGGATGGAAATGGAGGAGCAGTAGATAGAGATAGAGTAATAGAGTAAGATGGAGATGGAAAATACTAAACATAGTAGCTAATGAGCTTCGAAGCCCATTAAATGAATGATTGCCATATGTTACAAAATACTTTGAATTTTTTAGACGATTAAGATATAAAACCCTTAGTTTATAGAAATTGCTGTTTAACTAACAAAAGCTATGAGTATTTAGTGTATTTAAATTTTATTACAGAACAATTTAATTTCATTTTTTTTAATTTTTTTTTTATTTTTTAAAGTACCTCTAGTGAGTCTTAATAAACAAGTTTGGTATTTAAAGAAATAGAATTCTTCAACATTTTTAAGTAAAATATTTGTGGTTATATAAATAGATTTCATTAAAATTTAAGAAAAAAAATTCTGGCTTATTTACGAAAAACACTTAAAAGGAAAAACTTTATAATATCTGCTAGTCGAGCATTGCCAACTAAGGAAATAAATTTTCAAATCAATTTAAATCAATTTTTATTATTAAAACTGACTTGGCACATACGTCAAAGATTTTGTATCTATATTTTTTCTTAAGCTGCATCTTAACAATATTTTATTTTTTTTCACAGTTTAGCTGCTTTCAGCGCCAACTTTTCACAAAGCTCCATAAAAGTCTTTGAGCACGTCAAACGAGTCGCTTAATCACACTTTTCATAGCTAATCTAATATCTTGAGCCGCTGACTGGTCAACAATTTTTCTTGCAGCCAGGCGGCGTGGGTGTTGGCTATGAAAGTGGTTGCATTTGTGAGGTTGCGGCTGCAGCTACTGTGCGGCTACTGTTGGGTATGAAAGTCAATTGTCATTTGGCTTCAGCAGATAGTGAGATGTAACGATAAGAGCAGCAAAAGCAGAGAAAGAGAGAGAGAGAGAGAGAGGGAGAGAGACTCGGAGAAAATTCAAAAGTTGACAGATTAAAGTGTCAGATTTATGGTCAAAGAATGTGCTAAATGCTTAGGCATTGCTGCTCAGTGGCTGCCAAACTGTAGCATTAAACTAACACCATAACTAACAGCAAACAATTCGTTAATTAAGCATAATGGCCAGTTGCTGTTGTTGTTGGCTAAGCGGCTTTTGTCGCTTTGACCCCAAAAGTGCACAACGACAGCTTGCAACAAATACCTTGCAACATGCTGCAAGCAGCTCAAGCCTCTTCAATCAAGCTACATTTGCGACTCTTGACCCTAATGGCTTTTTTGTTGTTGTCTGTTCTTTTTTAATTTTTAATTTTTTTTTTTTTTTTTTTTTTTTTTTTTTTGTAATTTATTTACTTGTGATTATTTGTAGATTTTCTCATTTTTAGTCAAGTTTCGCACCAACAAAGTTTTCGTTAGGCATTAAATAATTTTGAACATTTATGCCGTCATAACTTAAATTCCAGCCACGTAAGGTCATAAATCATTTGTTTTCTTGTCAGGCGACTGTTAAGTTTAGCTGTTGACTGCAATTGTTTTGCATAAATATCTTTGGCAGTGCTCTGAAAATGAAGGTAGTACGAGATCTAGATGTGGGCTGTAGTATCCCTGCCTTTGTTTCAGGTGATCTGGATATGAGTTATAGAGTAGAGTTATTATTATAACAAATGTCTTTTGGGCAAGTGTTATTGAAGTTGGAGTGGATATTTTCTAAAGCTATCATATATTTATATATATATATATAAATAAATATCTTTCAATATTTAAAAAAAAAAAATAAATAAATATCAAATATTATTCACATATTCATCATCATATCATCATTATCACTCTAATCATCATGGCATATTCAAGTCTAATTTTGTGTTCTATGCACACCCACTCCGCCCATTCATCTCACACGGAGCTCATTATCTGTTGCCATTGTAACCAGATATGCCTCATGGACTGCAGGCAGTTCGCCTTGAAGTTCAAGTCTTTGTTTTTTTCTTTTTCTATATCATTTTTTAACACCCGACAGACAAAAGGCGAAAAAAACTGTTATATTACAAGCTGTACTCAAATAACAGTTTATTGTTTTGTAACACGGCTGGACAACAAACCCAAAGTGCAGTTAAAAGAAACCACTCGACTGGGCTCTTCAACTACAATATTATTCTTCGCTTTTCTACACACATCTTCTCCAGCTGCTTCTTCTATTTCTTCGTTTACAACAGCTTGAGCGAGGTTTTGTACTTGAAGAGGAACTCGAATTGCATGAGACAATTTGAATTTGAATTTGAATATTTAAGTTATTATAGAGGAATTTTAGTTCATTATTTGAACTGCTGACTGAAAGGTGGAACTAATTTGGTTCAGTTCTTGTTATTCAGAAATAGGGTTAGTTTATAGACAAGTTTGTTTTTATATCAAATAATTTAATCAATGATAACAATATTTACTTAAATAAATTATAAAAATTGGCTCATTTAGCTTTTTAAACAGAACCTTGACTTTGGTTGCTCTGTTCCGTAGAATTTAGTTTTTTATATAATATGTAATAATTAAAGACAATTTAAGTGTAAAGTCTGTCTATTAGTTATTGCAAAGTCTGTCTAAAGAGTCAGCTAGTTTTTATATTTCATTGCAATTAAAAAATATATACGTATATACATACATACATATATGTATATTAATTACAAAAGCAAAAATTATATTTCAAATATTTGAATAAATATATATTTTCAGAATTATTTGCTTCTTCTCGCGAGTCGCATTTTTCAATTTTCACTAAAATTTTGCCATGTAAAATATTTGTATATATTTATTTTTAATTTTTGAAGGCTGCTTGCCCCTTATTAGCTTCAGGTAGTTAATTCTGGCATTTTATGGCTGCTTGGCTACTAACTTGTTTTTCGTTCTCCTCTTCTGCTTCTCTTAGCTGTCAGTTAATTAGCTAATAAGCTAAGGTAGAGCTGTGTAATTGATTTTCCGAAGAACTTCGGCTACAAATTTCAGCTCTCGACTCAAGTGTATTACAAAGCAGAGCTAAAAATTCAATTATGCGCTGCTCCTCTCACATCAAACGCCACGCCCACCTTGGCGCCCTAAATGCACATCGGTGTTTTTTTTTTTTTTTTTTTTGGAACACACCAATCGATCAGAGTGCGTATAGGGCATATATCATGCATATGCCACATATATATGCATAAATACATGGGCATAGTTTCTGGAATTTCTTAGCTTTGTTCTTAACCGCACTTGAGTGTAATTTCTTTGTAGCATGCCAAGGTGTGTGTGTGTATGTGTGCGTTATAAATAACTTTTCCTAAAATTGTTATTAAGATGGATTTTTCTAAATTTAACATTTTCTAATAATAGAACAGTTTTAATGTTCTGGAAATAGTTTGATAATTTTCTATATCAAAATATTGTAAGATAGATAATCGATATTTATAAGGGAGGCAAATTTATTTCACTTGGACCTGGCGTTAAATCTACTTTGAGCACTATCGAAATTAACTAGGAATACTTTTATATTAAGTTCGTACTCACCCTCGCAGGCAACAGTCTCGTCGTTCTCGTTGACCAGCTCCCAATCGCCATCATTTTCGGCCAGACGCAGTGCAGCCAAATCCTCCAGCTGCTCGGCATTGACATTCATGCCAAAGTAGCCATCTAAGCACTCCGAGCACTTGACACCCATGACGCCCTCTTTGCAGATGCATTGTCCAGTTGTGGCATTGCAGTTGCCCAGGACAGCGGCGCCCAGTGCATCGCAATTGCAGGGCACGCACTGGCGCTCCACGTGGGCGTAGCCCACGTCGCATTCGTTGCACTTCTGGCCGGCAAAGCGCGGGCGGCACAGGCACTGGCCGTCGGTGCTGTCGCAGAGGCCGCTCTCGGAGCCCTCGGGGTGGCAGTGGCAGGGCTCGCAGCCGACGGCCGGGTCACCCCAGTAGCCTCGCTTGCAGCGCTCACAGTGCCAGCCCTCGGTGTTGCCGTGGCAGGTGATGCAGGCGCCGGTTGTGACGTTGCACGGGCCGCCGTCGCACTCGCAGCGTCGACACCTGTTGCCCAGTTTCAGAGGGTTGCCATAGTAGCCGTCGTCGCACACCTGACAGTGGTCGCCCGTGTAGCCCTCGGGGCATTGGGTGCATATATATTCCGCATGCTCAATTAGCTCGAATTGGGGGTTTAGATCCATGTAGTTGTAACTCTTTAGCTGACAGCTGGGCGAAAAGTTGTTCGAATCCTCAAGCAGTGGGCAGGCGCAGCGTTTGCAGTCGTGGGGCGTGCCTTGCAGTGGATTGCCATAGAAACCAAGCTGGCAACGCTCGCAGCTGCAAAGAGATGGAAGTGAGAATGCAGCATGAGGTGTGTGTATTGACTAAGTTGTATTTGGCCTGAGTGCGAACTCAAACCAATCTGGTGGGAAGAGTTGTGTGTGGATGGTAAATGAATTTATTAAATTTGTATGTGGTGTCCTGTGTGGTAATTGGTGTGTGTACATAATAATAGCCACCATGCAATCCAATTGCACTTGCTCTCTTTTAGAATACGTGCAAACATATGAAATTGTCAATGCTCATAATGTGAGGTCTGTAATACACATGCATTTGTTCTCTTTTTGAAGAAGTATTGTATGTGTCAAACTGTATTGGATAGGAGAAAGGTATAATGATTCCGCTCAACTCTGATTTGCTTGTATGTTATCCATTTATTCCTTATTATGTGACAGCTCTGTACGAAGAGCATCGCTTGATTTTTGTTCTGCAGACAGTTTTATGTGTCTAGGCTGTGTAGTATGATTAGTTGTGGATGCTATTTTACTTGTGTGTATGAAGAAGAGTAAGTTAAGAGTCTGCTATATATTTTGATGTTACTTCTATGTGGTAAGAGTATCGTACGCTCTTTGCTCACGTTCACCACATTATGTAGCGTAGACACGCACCAGTGTCTGCGACGTACAGTATGCCAGTCTTATAGTTAATTTGGATATTATTTGGTTTGTGCAAATGATAAGTAGCAAATAATGCAATCCACTAGCATTTGATCTCTTTCTAAGGAAGCTTATGTAAATTACAGCGTAAGAAATTGTTTCTTATTTTACTCTATCTCACTCTTTGATGCACAGTTAAATTATCTGTTCTCATCTTTGAAAATGGTGTGGGTCTCTGCTAAAAGTGCATTTTGTACTGGGTGATATATGTAGCTGAGTGCAGTGCTAAGCAATTCAATCTCTGAAAATGCATTTTAATATGAATTTAAATCTTACCGCTCTCCGTAAGTGTTGTGCATGCAATCGCCACAATTGCCGCTTTGCAGATCACACGAATTCGAGTGGCCATTACACGGACAGGGTATGCATTTGCCCAGTAGCCGATGATCCGTGGTGTTTTCGTAAATGCGCTTGTAGCCAAAGGCGCAGCTCTCGCAGGACAAGCCCGTGTAGCCAGCTGGGCAAACGCATTGCTCCACCTGGCTTGTGGCCTGGCCACCCAGCTCCAATCCACCCGAGTAGATGACGGCATGCTCCAGCGACGTTTCCACCTGATCTGTGTGATATGCGGCACGTATGAGCAGCGCATCGAGCGAGACCAGCACGGAGAGGAATTGTGCCCGGGTCACCGGCTCGCCATGATAATCACCGCCCTCGGTGCGTCTGAGGCGCGTCTTTATATCCTTCACAGCGGGCGGCACATGATACCAGCCGTGCTCCGTCAATGGGACATTCAGTGCCAGCTCCAGACCCTCATACGACTCATCCGCATAGGCTATCTTGAGTCCATTCTTGGCGCAGAGAATGACATTCGGTCCGGTTGTGGGCTTTCCCGAGGTGTCGCCCCGCATGACAACCCATGACAGCTGCAGCTGTAGCCTGGCGCCGTAGCTGGTCAGCCGATTGCCCAGATAACCCGCCGGCGCCTGCCAGTAGATGGCCTCCACCTCGTCCAGCTCGTTGCCAAAGATCAGGCGCTTCGTTTCGGCATCGACGGCCACGGCTATCGCCTGAGCCCGCTGTATGTCCGTCAGTCGCCAATCGTTCAGCGTTTCGAAGGCCAACGTCTGCAGCTTGGCGCTGTGGCAGGTCTCCGACACATGCGAGCACCAGCACCGACTGCAGCCCTCCGCCTTCTGCTCACTCAAGTCAAAGTAGCCCACGGCACACTCGGAGCAGGTGTCGCCCTGCACATGCGCCTTGCACTGGCAGCTCCCGGCACAGGCGCTGCCGGGCACAGTGCCACGAGAATCGCATTCACAGCGTCGACAGTCGTCGCCGTAGTAGTTCGGAGCGCACTCCTCGCAATGGGGACCCTGAAAAATATGGAAAATATTAATTATTAAAATTATTTATAGTAGAATCCCGATATTTCGAAATGGCAAGGGGCTCTTTTTTTTCGATTTACCCAGAAATTTAAATTATCGATAATTATTGAGAACGAATTTGTTTTCAAGGGAATAGAATTTTTTTTATTTATCGCGATTTTCGATTTAGCGGGGTACGAATTATCGAGACTTGAGTGTATTAAATATATATCTTTTTTTATTTTATTTTCATCGCTACCGTTTCAAAAATTTTAATATTAATTACGATATTTTAATCGATTTACATATATCGGATATAATACAAAATATTCTTAATATAAGTAATTTATCAATTATTAAATAGTTATATATTGTTATTTTTTCGAATATTTAATCATTCTGTTTATCGATTTATATCGAACTTAAATTCTACAGATTTAATCGAATTAATCACATCACAAATTTAAATATTTTGAAATTATTTCATTTTAATTTTTGATAATGCATTTTTTAGCGTTTCTCAAAGTCCACAAATAATAGATTTTCACTCAAACTGTGGAAAAAGAGTCTGAGTGTGACGGCTTTGGGCCTGACCTTAAACGAACTCAGACACAAACGTTTCGTTTTCCGCTCTCGTTACTCCAAGACTATTTTGTTGAGCTCAATGAAGTAAAGCGTCTCTTATGTATTTGTCGGTATGAATGCACTCTTTGTTAAACTCATCAATAGCTAGGGCTCCATTGATCTCTTTTTATATTTGATAAATAAATGCTTCATTTATTAACGTATCCGCAATATATGAAGTGACTATAGTCGATAATTATCGATACACAAATTTTGTTAAAACTAATTTTAGTTTTGGTAATGAAAGCTGTCTCGAATGACTGAAGGCAAAACGAGCTATGCACGTTTATTTATCGATAATTATTCATAATATATTTAAGTTTTACTTTATTAAAAATTATGTGTGCAACACTCTGATAATCATCGAACTTACATATATAAATCGTCAAAAACGATTGCAAAAATTAGTTTAAATTATCGATAAATAATGAAAATCGTTAGCTGACTGTGTTTAGATGACTCTAATTCCAATTCTTCAAAGTTTAACACGAATTTTTATTTACATTTTTGTCAAAATACTATTTGCACTTCAACTATACAATTTATTGAGCTCACACTATCGATAAATGATCGATAGTCATAGTGCACAAAGAAAATCGTTTGCTAAATGTATTTAGATGACTATTTGAAGCAATGCTCACCTGAAATCCTTCCAGGCAATGACAGGCGCCACCCACAGGTGCACAGCTGCCTTCCGAGCGTTGCGGGTTGCAGGCACAGGGCAGACAGGGCTCGGTAGGTGCTGCGCCCAGCTCCCTGTAGAAGCCGCCCGCACAGAACTCGCACTCGTTGCCCGCCGTATTGTTGCCACACTCTTGGCAAATGCCACGCTCGAGGAAGGCGTCGTAGCTGCAGCTCTGCGCATGGCCGTTGCACTGGCAAATCTCGCACTCGCCGCCCGGCGACCAGGCGCGATCCTGGAACAGGGGACAGCACTCGTCGCACTGCAGGCCGCAGGTGTTGTGCTGGCAGGCGCACTGCAGCAGGCTGTAGGCATTGCCCGCGTCCACATCCTGGGTGCGGTTCGCATGGCCGTGGCAGTCGAGGCGAGCGCTGACGCGCAGCTGCTTGAGGCTGTAGAAGCTGCGCTTCTCCAGCGACTGCGAGTCGAGCAGCCAGTCGACGCTGTTGTCCAGATTGGCCGTCGAGTGCATACCCTGTAAACGGATACGCATAAATCGGGCTGTGATGAACCGCATCAGCTCCGGCGTCTGCTCCTGCGCCCCAGGACGATTCTTCAGCAGCGACACGTGCAGCTCGCCGTTCTCCAGCGGCAGCGGCTTCGAGTACTGCGTCGAGCAGATGACTTCGGTGTCGTTTTTGAAAATATATTTGCCATTGCGGCCAGACCGATTGTAGCGTCGCTTGCAGTCCGCATCGCTGAGGCCAAAGTATTGCCAGGGCTCGTACGTAATGCCATCTATGGACTTCTCTAGTATCCACGAGGCGGGACGCGGCGAATTGGCCGACTTGAGCATTACGAAAAAGATTTGATAGGTCTGAAAGTAGAGCAAAGTTAAATGCAAACAATTAATCCGAAGTCATTTGGTGGTTGTAAAATACAACTTGTATTTAATATATTTATAAAAATGCCCCAGAGTCATGAATGAGCACGTCTTAAAACTTAGCTGTCAATTCTATAAGAAAATACATATACATACAGAAAATACATATAGTAAAATATATATAAAATAAAGTATATGCATATATATATACATATATATAATAAAAATTTACATGGTAGCTTTATTTATTATTATTCATATTGCTATCGCAGATAATTCCCTAAATAGCAATCGATTCCTCTATGATTATATTTGAGATATTTAATACATTTTTCATTACCTTAATATATTAAATAAATATTTTTTTATTTTACATAATTGCCCTTAAGTTTTAAGCGTATTTATATTCAGTTATTCCTTCGAATACTTTCAAAAGATTTATTTGTTATTATTCTTAGTTCTTTATTCTCCTTTACATTTATAACAATCATATAATAATTTTATAATAATAAATATAATTTTGTTTATTTTTTTAAGTTTTATTAAGAATTTTCCGGTATTATTATTATTATTATTATTATTATTATTATTATTATTATTATTATTATTATTTTGTTTTTGTTTTTTACAAAATATTTTCATATATTTATATTTATTTGATATAAATATTTATTTTTATATATATTTATTTTTATTTTATATACATATTATTTATTATTATAATATTTTATATATATTTTTTTTTACAAATTTAATATTTGCTTAAAATATATATAATTCCGAATGTTAATTTTTTTATACAGTCTGCGCTTTCATCTCTATTAAACATTTCACACAACTGTCTATAGCTCTTGAATTTGCTTATATTTTCATCAAATCTATAAATCCAATATACCCTAAATAAGTGCAAACCTAAATCTGAAATCTGAAATCGAAAATCTCAATACTTGCATTCTTTACCTACCCAATATTGTTCGCTCTGTCGTATATTTTCACACTTACACTAGCATTAGCTAACTTTTTTATGCGCATTTATGGCCAAAGTGTTTAAGTTTGTTTTCAGCTTTAAGCTGTTGCTTTTTATTTGTATTTTGTTGCTAGTTAAAAAAGCCGCAATTCGGTTTACAGTTTTACATTCACTGGCCGTGCTATAAATTAACTTGGCTGGCGCGCAACGATGTTGTTCGCTGTCATTTTGCGGGCAAGGCGCTGATGTTTCCATTTAGTTGTATACATCTTTGCAACTGCAACTGCAGCAGGCACAGCTTTATAGATTTCAGTGACTGCTGCTGCTGCTGCCGCCTGTTGCTGCGGGCGCTGTAAAAACTTTAACCCAACACCAGACTCGTGTCATAAATTCTGCTAGCTGTCAACAAACTAAAAAAAAAATAGGCAACTCCCGACACGCCCGGCAGCAGCGGCAGCGGCAGCGGCAGCAGCAGCAGCTGACATAAGATATATTTATATATTTATACAAACATATACATAAATGTATATACAAATATTTACTTTTGTATATTTTGAAAATTGTTTTGGCCAAAATGCCAAAAATGTCGCGTGTTGAGCGGCTATCGATTGCCAAAGATCTAGAGAAAAGCTTTGGCAAAATCTATAGCCAATAAGCGGCATGTGTGCAAGGTGTGGCCTTTTGACCAGCTCTGGCCTGCTGGTAATTGATTATAAAACGTGGCTAAGCCTGTTGGCGCCATCTAGCGACATTTTCCAACAGCTCCCCAAAATAAGAAAAACCCGCTCATAAGCCATGGCCAAAATGTCAGGCGCATTGCGATAAACACGGCGACAGGCGACATTCAACAACGAGTCTATCAAATTTCCAACAACAGCTACAACAAAAACAACAACTTCTACTACTACAGTAACAACAATTACAACAACAATAACAGCAACAACAACACATTTTCGCCACTAGCTTTGCCGATTCGCAGACGCTGATAAAACGCACGCAAAGCGCATTTGGATTTGAATTTGCCACTGGGGAGAGAAAAAAAGAAAAATGCCGAAAAGCCAAATACTGCGCATGCGTGCGTCTGCCAGTGGCAATTTGCTTAGCCCGGTTTCGATTACAGCCATGATAGCTGGCAGATGACAGACTGGAAAGTACGCTATAAGCATGTTGAAATTGACGTAATATAACTTTAAGTCTAAGAAAACTTAGTAATATGAGAAGTTTATTAGTTAAGCAGGAAATCTTAAGGCTTTGAAGAGCTGATTGAACGAGCAAATACTCAAAAATACGTTTATAGATATGTGTATAATATATAAATAACATTAGAAAAGCTTTCAATAAGCTTTCAATACTGAAAAAGATTTTCCTAGATATATTTTTTATTTATATCGTATTTATATTGAATAAAAGACTCTGTTTTCTACCTTTTCTAATTTGTTTGTTCATTAAACAAATTACCATCTTATATGTTAAAATTTTGTTTTGTAATCTCTAGCCCAGTATTTTTGAGTAAAAATTTTCATTTCTAGTATAGATAATGAAGTCATAAAAAAATCCAGTATATAATAGTAAACCCAACTCAACTCAAGAATATATAACCCAAACGAATCTCTAAATATTTCCCTACATTTTTACCACAATTTTCCTTCAATTCAATATACCCCACTTCCCATTGTATTTACAGTGTATATCAACATCAGCTGCCAGCAGACGACACAACATCTGCTGATAAGATTAGAATGAGATAGCAAATCAAATAGAGACAGCAAACGTAAGAAATTGCCAGGCCTAGGCAAATTAGTGAATGTCTTGGAAAATTTATTGCATGCTCTCCAATGATTTGTGAACCAGAGAAATGTGTGTGAATATTATATACATATGCAAAAAGTGTAATATGAGTATATACTCAAAACTAGCTTAGAAAATAGTAGAAAAAAAAAAATTTAACGGTAGCTGCTACAGGTGAGCAAGCAGCACAGAAGAAGCTGTATAGAGATAGGAAAATGAGGGAAAATGACTTGAAATTGAGTAAAAAATGAAATGGAAAATAATATAAATTAAATAAAGAAAATTTAATACGTAAATTTAATTTATTAAAATAAAAAAAAATTGAAATTAATATAAATATTTAATTTTTATATAAAAAAGAAAAATAAATTGACATTTTTAACATTATGTCTAGACACCAAAATGATATGAAGGGAATTTAAAATTTATAAGAAAATTTAAAATATAATTAAATAAAAAAAAATAAACAGACAAAAAATTTACAATAATAATAATAAATCAGGAGAATTGAAATTGAATTAAAACAAAGAAATAAATGAATAAAATTATTTTAAATTTATAAAATAGTTTACTGAAGATTTGATTCAATTTTAATATAAATTAATATTTTATATATTTACATGTATTTCAATTTAATTCCTTAAATAAAAAGAAATAAAATTGTGCAAAGTCAAGCTCAGAGACGAGCTAAACAGAACATTTGCTTAAAAAGCTTTATAATGTTCTGCCAATTATTTAACTATAACTGTTTATGAAGAGAGTGTAAGCCTGCCTTTACGCTGAAGCTGGCGGGCTAAGCGATAAGTTATCTCATGAAATTATGTTGTCTACGTCAATTGCACTAACCTTGATCGCAGATAAAGAGACGGGTCCAAAATGCAAGTGCAAGCGTGTGTGACTGCGACTTCCTGCTGCTGCTGCTGGTGCTGCTGCCGGGCCAGAGAAGAAACAAGTTGAGAGGAGCAGTGGAGCCTCCATAGGGCTATAGCAGATCTGTAGAGATTGCAATCAACAGCAGCAACAGCAACAGCAGCAGCAGCAAGTGGAGGCTGTCAGCCCTCGGGGCAGACAAGGCGGCACTTGACATTTTTATCAGCTGTGCGAATGACGGGCCAATTGACAAGCCAATAAAAACGTGTTGAACAAATGCGAAAACAACCACAGAGAGAAACAAAGAGAGAGAGGCAGAGGAAGAGATAGATAGAGAGAGACCCCATGAAAGAAAAGAAAAGCCATTCAAGACTTGTCCAATATTTGTTTAGCTATTCAAATTATTATTATATCTTAATATTTATGCAGCTGGATGATAACCCGTTCTCTGATGCCAGCTAGCTGATAAACCGCATGTCAAATTAGACAACAGAATGCTTAAAATATGCAAGTGAGACAACTTAATTGAATCGAAAGAGAAACTGACTTATGACTGAGATAAATAATCTATGTAAACAAGCGCCAACAAAATGCTAGACCACAATTTGAATGTTCATTAATTATTTATTGCTCAATGAATAGAATTTATCGGGCGCAACGGCAAAACACAGTTTTCTCATCGTCAGAATGCTAATTGAGGAAAATAGGAACAACTTTGTTTGGGCATAAAAATGAAAACAAAATAAATAAGTTTGTTGTAGTCGGGTGGGTGCGACTGCACAATGCTTGCTAATGGTATAAAAACAGTTAGGTGAATTAGAATATTGGTTATATTTCCAGATGTGACATGAGCTAAAGTGGGGCCTATATAGTTTATGAGTCTCATTGTGGATGAGTTGAAGAGGAGATGGAGTCTATTTGGTGTTAAATCGATTTTGATCTCTGAAAGAAATTTTATTTGGCTAGCTAAGCTCTAAGACTCTGAAAAATATAGTATTACCCGATATAGATATAGACTAAAACCTAAATATTGCATTTATATATGTATTTAGTATTGCACTGTATATTTTAATTGCTATATTTCTATGGTAGCGTAATATATACAGCTGTATATTCCAAAAATCCAACATACTCTTTAGACAACATGAAATCAAAATGCATCAAATCGTCGCATCGTAAACTTTAAAAATAAACAGGCGCGAAATTGTCTGAGACAGACAAGAGACTGGGGCAGACGGCCGAAAATAAAGACAACAAGCAAAACAAATGAAATAGTTCGCATTTAGTTTGAGACTTTTTTTTTTATTATTTCATGTGTTTAGTGTGGGCCGTCATATGCGCATTGCTCACATGTCTATTATCTACATAA